TGAATACAAAAATGTGTCGTTTTTTATGATGTCTGATGAGCGTGTATGGGATGTAATAAAATGCTCATTTTTCGTCTAATGATGAGGTGTTCCTGTAATCTGCTGTGCGCTGTAACCCGGACTGATATTCATACTAATGAGAGATTATAAATTATGGCAATATTGCCCATCTTTTCAAATGAGATCGCGTTCCTCACATTCAAACGCACGCACCTGCGTATGTGTGTACGTGTGTGCGTGTGTGCGTGTGTGTGCGTGTCGTCTTTCTATCCATCATTATACGGTGTTTATAAGGTCTATAAAATTTTAGCAATCAGTCGGCTCGGTTGGAGTTGTGCAATAATTCTGCACTGTGCTGATTAAATTACCGAGCTCGAGCCGCTGAGGAGAGCTAAGCACATAATCTACGAGGACAATAGTTGCTAGGAAAAATCGAATAATCCGGAAGATGTGAAGTATCAATGTTGACGGCGGCTGCAGCCATATATGGATATACAAAGGCAGCTGTAATTCGGCAACTGTACAAGATGGAGGCTACAAATAAGAAATGAAAAAATTATTACTGAATATCTTTACATACTTGGCTCTGAGACACTTAAAGCCTTCACCTAAGGCCAGTTGCAGCAGATCTCATTACGATACAAGTTAATAAAATAAAAGATCTCGCATCTCAAAACACTTGCCTTGGACGGTGAGCTTATAGGTGAGAGTAAAAATGCTTTCGGCGTTCTATTGTAGCAGTCCACTAAACTGGAGACCCATTTAACAGAACTAGAACTATTTTCTCGGTGTCTTATTCCGCAGAAGGCCCTTGTATGGAGTGGGATTTTATTAAATTATCAGCATCACTGAACCTAAGCGTTGCCTCTGGCTTACTCTTTGCCAGTCTCATTCCTATTTGGCGATTTGCTCAGCGCGATGTCTTTGTTGAAAGCATGGATCGAAGCTAAGTGGAATCTTCTGTTGCAAAGTTCTCCGACAGAGAGCAAACTTTTTTTCAAGCGGATTTCACCGAAACGACAGAAGCATTGGATCTTGTTACTGTCGTTGAGACCATGATAAAAAGAAACTCATGAAGAGTTTTCAGGGCTTACTGCGGCAGAGACCATTTTGGTGGGATACAAATTCTGGTCATTTCGGTATAAAGTATCTAAGTCAAGGGATCTAGTCACCTCGTACAACAAGCATGCCATACCGCGGATAAAATCTTGAACCCCCCAACCCACAGCAGGCAGAAAAGTTGAATCTATAATTTGAAAGAGAGACATTGAATTACGACTTTTCATGGTGAATAAAAAGTGCTTAAATGAGGTTCCAATCAAGGTAAACGAGACTTCAGGACGAATAATTATTAATGAAAAATATTTGCCTGCGTTCAATGGATATCTAATTATATCTTCTTCTTCGAGACAACGTTTGGCAAGATCCATCAGCAGATCGGATAAGTTTCTTGGGGATAATGCAGCTGATTAGAAATTGGAGACTTTGGCTTGTACTGAAGATGTTAATGGAGACTTAGGATTTCAAAAGTAGCTTTATACGAACTCATATATGGCGGTCGCGGTAGTCGAGTGGTTAGCCTCTCAGAAGGGAATGTGAATTCCTCCGAGTGTATTTCTGACATCAAATAAGGCTCCATATAAAAAAGCCATCAGCCGTAGTAGTAGTAGCCTTAGTATAAACTGTAGGTCCCTCCATATGTTGGAGAGATATCAAGACGCATAACCACAAATGAGAGGAGGAGCTCGGCCGAAAATAGCTTAAGACCTTACGAAGCGCCAATTATACAATATATGATAAATATTTGGTGTGGTAAAAAGAAATCCTAATGGATGCATGAAATTGAAGGCTTTAATTTTTACTTTACGTATCCGCCTTATTCAAATGGTTTCTAACGGTTTTTTGTGCTTATATTTATAAAAAAAATTTAATTGTGCCCCAAAATAACAGGATTACCTATATTTATAAGACAATATATTTGTATGCGTAATTTTTTAAGTAATTTTTTTTTTAATTTCTTTTTGTTTCAAAAGCTCAATTGTATTTAATGCAGTAGCGATTAGTGTCAAAAACATTAAACATGAATATTTGGCAGATACAAACCGCAACACAAGTCAATAATGGAGATTATACATGTAAATATATATTTCAAAATTGGTTTTATGTACATACCTACAAGCAATTACATAATTTGGCTTAATAACCATTTACTGCACATAAGAAAGAAGAAGCATCTCACAAACGCAAATTCAATCAACTCAACGCTCCGCAACCGAACTATCTTCCACCTTCACCCTCGTCGCTCTTCTCCACTCGTCTTCAATTCACCATCCTCATAACTCTTCGGTTACACATCATTCAAATTCTAAACGAACAATATTTGAGAAACACCAAACAGTAGGTGGCTTGGCTTTCCGAAGGTACCTAATTAATGTTTGCTAATGAAACTAATATAAGCCAGATTAATTAATATCTTGTTTACAAGAAATGGATGTCTGAAATGATAAATTAAAACAACACATACTCGCATGCGCATACTCGTACATATATATGTACAATACATATGTGTATGGCATGAATGATTATAGGCTGCTGTGAGTACGAACGCACATACATATGTGTGTACATTGTTATTGGCTGTTATTACGCTAAGCGTACTGGGTTCTAAATTCTCAGCGTCGAGCTGTAGATGGTAAGCAGTTTGGCTTGGTAATGAAGAAAAATACTGAAAGTTACGGGAATTGAATTTAGAACCTGCTATGCATATGTACATATGTAGATATGTTTGTAGTATTCCATCATACGTCAAATTTTCATAAACCCAATAAACACAAAACCAAAAGTCACAACACAATCCGATTCCTTTCTTTTTCATGGTGATAATTCACTCGCTCACTCTTCAACGCCTCAACACCGTTATCATGCCTCAGCTTCGTACTTACCGAATTTCGTCTTTAACTTTTACGTTAGTAGTCGCTCCATCTAAGATGATCAAAAAATCGACAGAGAAAAAGGACTTCATCTTCACCTTGGGGTACGAGGGAATCCACGACAATGATAGAGCCGATGAACTGGTTAAAGGTGGATTTTTTCCGGGAAGTGAAAGATGAACGAAAAACGAAGAAAAACTAAGGGGATACACAGTAGTGAAACTGTGGGCTAAACATCTGATTCGAAACTTACTTCGTTCTTGCCACCGACAAAGAGGTCAGACTCCCGACTGTTTGCGTTTCACGTGGTTTTCAACAAGAAGTGCAGCAGTACAGAACATTCAGGACGTGGTATCGTCTATTTGAGTCAACAAGTTCAGCCCCATCTACCACTATCAGAAAAACGAGTTCTTTTCGAATTCGCGACAAATTCATTACATTTGCTGGGATATTACATATGTACGTTTGTATTATAGTTATATATGTACATATGTATGTCCATAGTTTTACCGCATGGGAAATGATTAGTTTGTTTACAAAAAGTAATATTGGCATTACCGCATATAAAACAGACAAAAAACACTAAAGAAGACCTTATACCCTTTACAAAGAGAGGCTAAATCAGTGTAATGTGTAAGACTTGACCAGAAAGCGCATGTTTGAGAAATAAATTGATTAGTTGTTGTGTTGTTTAAAAGCAGGCGATGTTAGTCTGAGTCATCGAGGCCATCTAACGGATGGTCCAGGAAACGAATGCTTCGACGGCTCCAGACCAGAGTGAGGGTTATATGAGTGGGTTTTAAGGGGCAAGAAAGGGGGTGGTTAGTGGCGTGCGTGGTCTCATTGCATGAGAGAATTATGTAATGTATATAGCATAAGTAGAAATTAAGTCGACTCACATAACTCTCAAAGAACGGCGTTTAAAGCCTATCAATACGCCGTCATGTATAGCAGATTTTGTATGTGGTACCTTTATGATGTGTCTCGGTAATAGTATAGCTCAAAGTAAACGCGTGTTGGGGTACACCCAGCGAATATTACTTGCACAGCAAAGCATTATGCTAATTAACTTATAATACGATGTTTCGTAGGGCAAGCGATAATCTGGTGACTTCATGGTCCTAAGGCAAATGCTTAGACATGCTAAAGCTTCTCCATCTGCATCTCGCTAGTCCGCGCCGTCCGAATTACGTGCTGAGTAAAGACACTCTAATATTACTTTGGGTTGTTTTCCAAATGAGTTCAAGCCGGTACCCTTTGACCAATTGGTGAAAATGGTGGCCGAGCATTTCGAATTTGTAATTGTCGTGCAGAAAATAAGAAAGAAAGATCGGCGAGTAACTTTTACTTGTGTACATAAATTCTCAATATTCTGGTCAGACGCCATTATCGAGCAATTGTCGGTATATGGGATCAGTGAAATGCACTTTGGGGGGGAGGTTATTTCGAAATGTAGATATTAAATAGAAGCAGGAGAACTGTGGAATCCCTTGAATAAATATACGGAGCTTGGAAACTCGAAATTCCACCGATACCTGTTGTTCACTCAGACGATTCGCATGCAATTGGTCGGTTTCGGTTAAGACCATTGACTCTATCAGTATTTACGCCATTAAGTGCCGTTGTGGTGCAGCAACTCACCAGACAGCAAGGGGCTGTACCATTTTGGGGGCCTTACCCCGTTTAGGTCATCAATTGCTGCAAGCGTTCGAAGAGACTCGAGATAAGATTGGCATAGAGACATGAAATAACGAAAATAACTATAAATGATTTGCTTAACATATATACATTTGACGCTTTGTAACCGCTGCACCGATTTGTGGTTTTGCTTCTTGGTGTTTTTCCAACAAATGGAGGGACTTGCAGCTTATACTAAGCGGCCTCCGAATGGCTTTGATGGTTTTTTAATGAGGAGCGTTTATTTCACGTCCGATATACACTCAGATGGGTGGACATTCCTTGCCGAGGGGCGACCGGAATTAGAAAATTCAACTTAATTTATTATTTAAATATCTGTTTTATAATTTATTATTTATTTAATTATTTAAAATTTTTGTTTAATATATTTGTAAATATTATGTACATTTTGGGAGCATATCACCACTTGTTCCAGTACTTTCAAATGTCGATCTGAAGTTAAAATACTACCCTCCTTCGTGGAGGGTATAAAAACGGCGTCGGGCATCTGAAGGTAAGAAAAACCTGCGTTAAAAAGAGAATATGAAATTATGAAGAGTATGAGAAGAGCCTAAATATTTGAACTAAAATCGTTCAACTTCAACAGCCTCGCACGCTGCCTCTACGTACATATATACCCGTTCACGGGACTGCTTGCTGGTCCATTCCGTTCTGCTCTGCTTTTACGCCGTCCCAGCTATGCCTGCAAGTTCAATCAAATGTAAAACGCAAAAAAGCCATAATGTGTCAGTTCACCAGCGCGCCATGGCACCAGAGCACCAGCGCAGCAGCTCTTCATACACACTTTCTTTCCTGTACTTTCCTTTCGTTTCGTTTCAATTTGCTCCCTGCCTTTCCCTGCTTACTTACCTTTCAAACGAAATCTATTTCTAACTGTTAGCTGTCAGTGGGTTCGCTCTGTAATCTCCGCCAGCCCCGGAGCCACCACACTGACCGCCTCGGAGTATGGCAAATTGAATGCAGGTTCTTTCTTACTTTATATTTGATGATGATTATGAAAAATGATGTTTGTTTCCAATTTTGACAGCATTTTCATTTGTAAAAATATATATATATATATGTATGTATGTATGTGTCTATGTATGTACAGGTGTTTACGAGTGTGTGTGTGTGTGTGTGTGTGTATGTGCGATTATTGGTAAAACTGTAGCGAAAGCACTCATTACGGACATTTGCTTTATTCTAATTCACTCTCACTGCGCGTCACACACTTGACTACAAACGCGTAGATATGTATACACGTATGCATTGTGCACATATATACAAAAGAGTATGTACATATTTAACTACATAAAAATAGGCGATGCACAACAACTGGCTCCCCAAAGCCGTACTGTTGAACGGTGGTTAAAGAAGATATTAGAAATTCGTTTCACTCCAAAATTAGCTTGGCATAACGCAATTTTCCTTTCTTAATTCATAAACGGTTTTTCGAATAATTTTCTATTGCTGAAAATCGTTAATTATCAAATATTACGGTTAATAACCAAATCATTCACTGTTATTATTCTGTTGCTGTTGTTGTTCTTTATTGGGAAATCAAAGTCTGGCACATTAATGACTTTTATAGGAAATTATTTAGAAAATCCAAAAAAAAAAGTTCTGAAATTAACTCATATGAATGGAAGCACCATAAAGAATGCCCTCATAATCAGCCGATGAAATTGGCAATTAACTACTTAAGTATTATATATTTCTAAGGAAAAACTCTCACAGACATATATACGAGGGTTGCCATTTATATTTTGGAGTATAGCAATCCTGGTATGGCAACTTCATCGTAAAGTTGATGTTATACATACTCATTTAGCCATTGCAAATATTGATTGAGGAACGCTTGGGGCCCTGGAACACTTCCGCCAATGGATATACCATGAAATTATTGTGGGGCAGTTTAAGCGAACAAGAACTTAGTATTCTTGTGTGTTTATTGACGGGCATTTACCCCTGAGATATCATAACCACGAAGGTCAAGTGGAACTGGCTGAGCGCGGAGCACGCACAGGAGATAACGAAACGCTGAGCCACTGCCTTTACGTGTGCCCAGGCTTTTGCCGAAAAGTCAAATCTCTCACGGCGGATGCACAAGCTTGAAAGAAATTAAATGTGTTTGTTAAATGAAGTGAACTGTTCGCACGAGTGTAGTTTGGGTTATGTGTGAGAGCACAAGGAGTCTACCAATTTAGCCAGATCCGAACCGCGCACGCGCATATTTTGTTAGAAGTCAAACCGCCAGAAAAAAGCTTGATCGGTCAGTAGTAAGTAACGCAACGAGCAAATATGTAGGCCCAGATCACAAGCACCGAAATGGTATTCTCGCAGTTATATAAAATAAATATATAATATTTTAAATATGCGAAACACACACACACACACATAGATGCATACTCGAAGATGCATTACAAATCAGTACGCTTTGGACGCTCGTCGCGACTGGAGTAAAAATACACCGTTGGTCCTTTGCTATTCGCTGCTAGTCTTGCGCTTTTGTTTCAGACTATTTTTAACTTCTTTGGAGTCCTTTATAATTGCACATATTAAAATAGTTTTGATTATGACAGACAGACATACATACACACAGACATACATACATATCTATAAATATTATTGTAACTTAAAAATGAAAAGAAGGAAAAAAAAAATAAATAAAAAATTGCATGAATTATTTCTCGGCAATGCTATCACGTTCGCCACATGGCAAGACATAGAGTGGATGATTGTGTTGCGAGCAGATCGATTTCAAAGAAATAATCATATATTCCGAAATGAATGCACACGCGCACATACCTACATGCATCGCAAAACAATCACAGAAATTCATACCTAAATATGTGCTATATGTGTGTAAGTAAGTATGTAAGTGGCTATGTATGCACGTGCATATGTTGGCCTAAACCAAATTTGGTTGTCTTCGGACGACTTAGATCGCTCTCCCATGTAACTGATGCACATATTTAATAGCAAAAATTATGTATAAATATTTTTTTTTGTTTTTTTTTTTGTTTTTTATTTTGGCCAGCAAACATATCTATAAGTGTATTTATGTTTAGCTCTGCATGAATTAATAGCGCTAGCTCGGTGGCCGTGCGGAGTGTAAGGCCAAAAAGTTCTAGTTTTAATTTTCCTTCCATATTTATACCCAACGTGTGTGTGTTTGCATGAATATTGTAGGTTTCACATGAGATCTCTAAAGTATTGAGAAAGAGAGAGAGAGAGATAGATGAAGCAAGAAACAGAGGAAGAGAGAAAAGGAGAGAGAGACATAAAGAGAAAAACAGGGGGAGAGATAGAAGAAGAAAGAAAGCAATAAAGAAAGAAACAGAGAGAGAGAGAGAGAGTGAAAGAGACATAGAGAAACAGAGATATACAGAGAAACAGAAAGAGAGATGTCAAGCTCCTTTAAGTATACATTGTATATGAGGTAGAAACCCCTTCACCTACTATACCCCTTCTTCATTCATATCTTAAGGGTACCTTCACCTTGAACCAACTGTTGAACTCCAACAGACACAACAGCGGAACAAACATGAGCATTTATTTAATGAAAATGCTACTATAAAGTTGGATCCGATGTCCGAAGGTCTCATGATCTACCGGCTACATGCATCAACTTCATTATAGAATATATTTGGATGGAAAGCTGTGCATTCTCTGCCAAGAACGCGGACTCCACAGTTTGCGTATTGTGTGAAAAGTTGAAAACTGAACCGTTAACGAACTGATTGCTCCTTTTCAGTTTGGCTTTAGACCTGCCAAAACCACAATCTAGATATTTACCAAATCCTGAAACAATTTCTCTGGGATTCACCATCTCTTTCGTGATTATAAAGCTGTCTTCCATAGAACGAAAAGAAGCTTCGTCAGAAACGGTAAGAACCTTAATAAACGGGGTTTCTGACAAGATTTCTTTCTATAGGGTAAGGTGCGCACAACCGCGTACTGGCGTCTGGCAACAAAGAAGTTAAAGGTAAGATCCAATGTAAGACTTAGCTTCTCAATAAATCCGGTGACACCTTCTGAGAAATTCTTGTCAAATTCAAACCGAAAAACTTAAAACATTTTCGATTGGCAAAAAGCCGCGGGGTGTACTCAGCTCTGCCTTACTAATTTAATTTGTACTTTTTAATAATATTTTTTTAGTTTTCCTCCACTTTTAATTATATTAACCGCATTTAGCTGTGCGCCTCACTTTGTCTGCCACTTCCACAACAACAATACATAAGCAGCCTTCGTTTTGCATTCCCCTCCTCGTACACCGATCGAGCGGTCGTAGTAGCAGCACCGCTTCGCTTCGCTGCAGAATAATGCCGCTCTTTCTGTTGCTGTTGCTGTTTCTGTTTCTTCTCAAGAAAAACAAAACCCGAAAAATTCCAACTTAAGTGCTTTTAATTATCCAAAAGAATCCAGGTATCTGAGTTTGGAATCCTTGTTTGTCATCATCGTCATACTTGGGTGAATGTGACCACATTGCGGAGGGTAGTTGCGCGCTGTTGGCCGTTGTTGGTTGTTACTGGCTGTTGCTGGCTGTCACACAACGCCTATTGCACGCCGAGTGTCCGAATGTCCGAATATCCTATTGTGCTTGAACGCTTTTTTCTCGCGATGATTTGCGCTTGTTGTTGCTGTGACTGTTGCTGTCCGTTGGTTAGTTAGTGCACCGAAAAACATTGTTAACGTATGTGTAATATGTCGTGTCTGCGTGTGCGAAATTGTTGACTGTCATGGCCATTGTACGCCACACACCAGCGGCTGCGAGCCAACAGCCACCAGCCACCAGCCACCAGCCGCCAGACAAGAAATCGTCAAGCGTTGAACGCCACAGCGTCTTTGCTCTCGGCCGCTCGCTACAAAAAAAAAAGATAAAAATAGCAACAAAAACTATGCTCATACTATTCATAAAAGTACATATGTATATATATGTATGCTTATTGTGTGCAATATAGTACGTTTGTTTGTGTGTTTGCACGAAAAATCACATGTCTGCATGAGAATATCATATTTGTATGAAGTTTGGAAGTTTGCACGCTCCATACGAATGTCATGTATGTATGATGCATATGTAGGTATGATGACTATGTGAATCGACATATGTATATATGTATGTACATATATGCATGTATATAGGTATAGTCAAAACAAATGGAGCAGACAGCAGAAAATGTGCATGTGTATATATGAATATACATATGTATGCAAGCTCTACATCTGCCCTTTTGCCACCGGGTGGAACTGATGACGTATTGTGCCGGCGCGAGACCCTTTGCCACTGCTGCAATTTGTTTTTTCCTTGCTTTTGCTGCTTTTGCTATGAAGGCGGACTTCTTTCATCTCATTACCATTTTTGCCACATTTTCATTGTTGTTTGCTATTCATTATATATTTATATGTATATGTACATATGTATGTAGGAATATACTCTTCTCGTGCTTGCGCGCAAATGTACAATACCTACATATCTACATACAAATATAGAAAAACAACCAAACTCACAGAGAAGCTAAGTCGAAATCTAAGACTAAATATCATCGCTGGATATGGCAGACTTCCCTGAGCAATCCGTGACATTCTCTAAACTTCTGTTGTTAGACCCACTCCCATGAGGAGAGTAGAATATGGGTTGGGCAGCGCTAGGACAGAGAATTTCGCCATGCACAGAATCTCCGAATTCTCACGAGTTAAGTCAAGCTCTATCTATCTCCCTCTCTCCCAGCAAGGTTGATCTTTGGTCACCCATAATATTATTTTCCGAAAGGAAAGCTAATTGATTCTTAATAGAGAACGGATTCTTATAATCCCTGGATCAGTTTTCGTCCGAGCTCCTCCTACAGTCTGTGCGGTGTGAATCTCGCCTGAGATTCTTTGCTAAGGGATAACAGAACTCAAAAATGTTTCTTATAATTTTGTTCTAGTCAGGATTAGAGCCCATGATCTTACCTATGGCATCAATTAGCGCTGCCCATTCGTCTACAACGGCCGCGGTAATTAGAATAAATTAGA